TTGTCATTCAACTGTCAGCATATGCAACAACTGGATCCTCAAAAGCTGGATGTGGTTGCATGCCTAGGATATATTCCAGGCATTCCATGCTATATCTTGCATGTAACAGTGAGCTGCATGGACACAGAACCTTCAAGTCTTGACCACAACTTTGGGGGCTAGGTTCACCTAGAAAACTTCAGCACATGCTCTCAATTTTGGCAGTATTATACTCAACAAACTATTGAAAACACAAACATGAGTCTCGCTGTGATAGTGACTTGTGTGTGTTGCCTTCTCAACCTTGTACTTTTGGGTATTTGCACCCAGCTACTTTGCAGGTAAAACTTGGAAAAAAAATAACCAGTTAGTACAGTCAAACCAAACCTGCAAACAATGTACACCAGTGATATCCACATCACAGTAAAATGGTACAAAACAATATTGATGTTTACAACATTGCCTACTTTTTCATTCCCTCCTTCTTGCTGTTAATAAAGCAGGAGAAGAACGTTAAAGGTGATGGCCAGGACAAAGAGATAATTTGAACTCAGTGCCTGCAGCAAATCCAAGGCTACCAGCATATCCAGCAATACTGGAGTCCATGGCAAATTTGGCCAATGATGTAATTACCTAAGCCTAAACTCCTTTCTTCCTTACCACCACCATCACTCTTTCCACACTACTGTTCCTCACACAGCCTGCTAAGGCAGCCCTGTGTGTGACACCCAGATTTTCCTTGCTAAGGCAGCTGTTAATCTGTTGTGCAAGAGACAGTGCCCAAGGACGACCACAGATGTAAAAGAACATACCTAACAGCAAGTCTTACACACCAGAAACCAACACTACTCAGTAATGGGCCCCAAGAAGCAAGATATCTTCTATTCATGGCCAACACCTGAGGATGGCAAGGTAACACATCACATCTATCATCTGGTAAATCATACTAACCCTGTTGTGCAGCTAGCCACATTTTCACACCAGGAAGCAGAGAAACATGGTGTGTGGTACATTGGCAAACCTTCAGTAGAGGTATGTGGACTACTATTCATTCCTATTCTCATCTAATACTGCACACAGGATGAACCTCCATGTCCCTCATATCTCACATTCACAAAATACCTGTTCAACTCATGATTCAACATTTTTACAACAGCATCAAGATACAACATGGCACAAGTTGTCATCAGCACACATCAAACAATCACCCTGATCCCTTAATGGGCTCTTGCACAATATGTTTCTGGCAAGGACATAATTTTGGATTAGAAGACCCAATGTTGTTCCCCCAGCCATTCTATCTACCTGTCAATCACCTTGCCATGATTCCATTACCTTCAACTGATCCACAGCACTTGCTTTCCATCATCTGGATCAACCCACAGCCCAACAATTTCGAAATTTTGCAGGTCTTTGATAAACACAACCCATCTTCAGGACTCAGGCAATACAAAGGCTCACTCTTAAAGCATGTAACAAACTCCTTAGACCAACTCATCAACACCATTGGAAAGTGTGGGTCTGAAATCCCCTCCAGACAATTGGCTCTTCAAACAGACTTACCAGTCTGTTTGAAGAGCCAATTGTCTGTCAACCACTACACTGCAAACCTAAAATGGCTCCTAGGCCAGTTAAAAACCATCACCCTTCACAAATAAGCCACAGCTTCATTACATCTTTTCTAGCAAACCTTTGCTGAGCTTGCAGCACAGATAGAATGGGTCATTACCTTACAGCCTTTAGCTGAACAAGTTCCTCAAAAATGCAATGATCAAGCCACTGGAGTCATCAGTGCTATTGCTGGCACACATGAAGAAGCAAGCCTATTATTTGATTTAGATAATTCAACATTAACAACACACATACTACATTACTGACCATCACTCTAGGCATATCATTCTGGCTTGTAACACTGGTGAATGAGTTCAATGCCAACAAAAACCATACAATGGACAACAATACCTAGAACCATCCACATTCCTCCAAATCCACACACACAACCACTCTAAATGACTGCAAACCACCATCTCCAGTTATTTACACTGGTGAATTACATCCATGGTCGCCAACACACTACAAGAAAATGGCTAGCTACCTATCACAACAAAGTTCCTTCAGTGTACAAAGGCTGCCGAACAAGCCACTGAACCACATGCCTCTGCTACAGGTCCAAGCAGAGCCAAATAACATTTCCACATGCTACAAGTGTCATCTCTCCTTCAACAGACCACTGTCTTCAATCTACTTTCATCTGATCACCACCCATGTAAGTACACATTCTCCAAACAACATACTTTTCAACTGATCATTTACAAGCTGGACAACATTCAAACACACATGGCAGTCAAACTTGCAACATTCCCTAAGTTTGGCTCCAATAACAACCTCAACATATACAGATCAGATACTGGTTTCAAAGATAGAGATCATTCCATCACTGCCATCCACACCACTCATGCAGAGCGAGATGATCATGAAGCAAATGAAGGGTACAATGCAGCTGATATTAACGAGGATGACAGAGGGCACAAAGAAGATGATGAGGGTGGTTAGACTCCCACCCAGAAGGAGCATTCATCTGATTACATGCTCTCCTCCATCCCTGACTTGCCTTCCAATTTCCCTTGAGTGTTAGACACACCTGCATGTTAAAGGTATTCAATAACCTTATTGGAAATGATCTGAGAAGCCCACTTGAATATGATACTCTTTGACCACCTATGAGAATGACTCAAAAAATACAATGCAAAAATGATGTGTGAACAACGAGAAACTCATGTGAAACACCTATGGAATAACATCAATCACATGCCAAGGAGGCTGCCACACACTTCATGCTTGATACAATGTTTTCCTAGCCATATCCGGAAACCATTCCTTTTTTGTCCTCTCCAAAAATCATGCAGAAACAATGAGGAAACAATGCAAACACCATGCAAAAACCATGTGAAAACCATGCAGAAAAACTTGTCACTAAGACCAGGTCACAGCCAAATACAGATATAAATACAGATATATATAATGTGTCATTTTTTACTTTCTCACTATTCAAGTAATACAAATCTTTTGCTTGATGGGCAGGTTACAAGATACACAGAAAAAAAATACAGCCCAATGAAAACCTTCTCAATCCCAGCCATAGCAAAGCCAAAGGATATTATTGTCAATCAAGACATTCAAATCATCCAGTCAGGTTTCTGACGCCTTGCTGAGAGTGAAAAGTTCAGTATGTTTCACCAAACCTGTGTCAAGAATGAGAAAGATTGTAAAATGGCCAAAAGCAACACACATACATCAATGATTGAAGCATTGACAACGTACTTGTGTGTCCTCATGAATGATATGCAAAATTCTCTCTGTATATCATTAGAAACCCAAACAGAAAAGACAGAAAAGGAAAATGTACTCACCAGCCCTCCTGATGCACTAGTTGACTTGAACCCAGCCTATGTTTTCGACCCAGGAATGGGTGTAGTGTCCTTGCCAGCACTGGATTCATGCACCAACATTGTCAGAGCAGCTGATTTTCACAAGAGAAATGCCTGTTCTCATTTTTGTGACTCTCAAAATCCAGCTATTTGTTTCATTCATGTGAAAAGTGCTCATTATCCAAAAGCATTAAAACAATGACAACTGCCAGAGCACAAACAACCCACAGACCTCAAGATCTCTTCACAGCACAAGAAGCTAACCCATATTAGCCAAACCAGCACCAACTACAGAACAGAAGACTGAACACAACAATTAGAAGACTCAACAAAAACACCATGCATGCAAAGACCATAGGAGGGGCAAAGAAAGAGAAGTGAAGTCAGAACAAGAAGATCAATACAAGTGAACCCAAATGAAAGACTGAAAAGAAAAGCAAATGTTTTGATATGTCAGGTGATAATGCCAATTCAGAGGTTTCAAAAAGTCCACCCCTAAAAGACAAGTTCTCATTTCATTGCAAACTCATAACATACCACCAACCCAAAGGAATCAATGAAAGAATGGCAAGCTAAAGAAGCAAAGCTATTGTTGTGTGTTCATCTCCCTATCATTTGATACTATGCAATCAACCATACAGCAGTGAAAAGGAAGAGGAGCAACACCTATGCAAGAACACTGGAGGGCATGAACACTATGTGGAGACACAACAAGTGGAAAAGTTGCAGATGAAGCAATTCATCTTGACTGACTTGGCACTCCCAGAAAACAAGAACACCAGCCAAGAACCATTGACCTCTTTTCACACAAACATCATCCAAGGTGATGCAACCAAGCCTGCTCTGACTGTACTATATACAATTGCACACAATAATAGTGGACATGTTCCCAGACACATGATTCCTTGTGCCACACCCTGCATCTGCTGCCCCTTCACCTGTTCCCTCTTGCACACCTACACCTAAACCACAATGTTCTTGTGCCAACTATGAACCACCCAGAGAAACAGATATTTTCACAAAGAAGGTGCACCTAGACAACAACACTCTACTATTTCACTCAACAGAAATACTTAGAAAATTGGATCAACTCTTGGACCATCATGAGCATGTCCACTATTACAACTTGAAACAGAGCCAGTCCCTCCTCACAGCATGCCTTGATATGGAAGCTGCCAACCACCACCCAATTCAAAGATCTGACCCAGTCCTTGACAACTTTGACTGGATCTACTTTTGTGGGCTACACATCGCTTGGGACAACAACGAGGACATTGTCCTTGCTGGCAGAATCATGTACACTCCTTAGCCCCTGGAGTATGGTGCTCCCTCAACAGCGCAATACCATCAACATGGTCATGGAATGGTCATCATTCTTCTCCCACACCACATTCATGACTCAATGTTCATCTCCTTCAGGCACAAAAATCCATGCTGAGAACAGGGACACTTTTTGAAATAAATACCACTTGCAAAATGTTACCTTAGGGTGAAAGGATTGAAACATGACATGAACAGCCAAGAGTCATCATGAAAAAGAAACATGAATATCAGCTCAAACTTGACAAAAGTTACGGCTGAGACAATAATAAATGTCTCCACTAGGGATTGAACCTGGATCCCCACCAATGTAGAGACCTTGCATAAGTATTACATGCAGGCAATGCTCTGACCCTTGAGCTATAGAGGTGTTACATTCCTTTGCTCCTATTGTTTCACATTGTGGTCTAGAGGCTGCCCCACTCATGTCCAAAAAGGGACTACTTCCCCTATTTAGATGTAATGACAAAACTCATGCAAAACTTGTGTGAAGCCTGTAATGGCTTGATGCTGAGATGTTCCTGATTAATAATCATCTTCCTCTTAAACTGTAACTGTCATCTTCCTCCACCTCAACTCCTCTCCTTTTCCAACTCAACCCTACAGCCTGCTCAATAGGGCCTCCCTGCTAAGGCAGCTGAGGTCTGGCATTGAATTACAATGCCACAACTCACCCTCCAAGACAGGGAAACAAGATATGTTAATTGGTACAGTCAAGTACCACTATGTGGGATGACCAAATTTTATTAGGTGCACCTCCCTTGCACCTTACACTGTCACTGTTCCAAATTTGTATAATACATAGCCACAGTGATATAGATCAAAGCCATATCTTTTATAGAGCATTCTAAAGTGAGAGAATATATAGTCAAAAAAGTACAAGAGGGAGCTTGAGAAGTGTTTGTCCCATTGAGTGATACCATCCCACACAGTGGTACTTGACTGTATACAATCAGTTTCTGGGAATGTATTGCACACAATATGAATATTGTGGTGTGATTTACATAATCAATATTCAGCCACTTATCAGTGCACAAATAAGATTTGACAGTTAGAAAAATGGGCATGCCAAATTATGATTTTAGTCCTGGATATAGGACATAGATATATATTATATGTTCACATATCTTTTTCATATTGGCTGAGGCTTGTGGGTTGCAGGATATGTCTACTATCTTGGCTTGGACATTTAAAAACACTCATAGGTCATATGCCTGAAGAGTATTATTGTTCTGCAGGACCTGAGTGCTGTTGGTAGTGATGTAGAGTCCAATAAAGTGTTAGAATCTATATCAAAGTATTACCAGTTAAACTGATCAATAAGAATGACTAGAACTCAATGCAATTGACTGTGATCACCCAAAAGTGTTGATAATAGTAACTTTTGTATTGAAAATGTGTTCCAAGTGTCAACTCTCTGTGACATGTAAGTAATTACTGTTTGTTTGTATCTATTGTGGTGTGGATTGCTCGAGGCGGTAAAGTACCGTCCACTAATGCGAAAATATGTGTTTTACATACTCCTACATGCCCATACACTATAGGTAGGTTCAACATGAATGCAAGTGTATGTGCAGTAGAACAAGCATAATTAGAGTGCCAAAGTGGACTTTCATATATTTTGTTGGACTTTCAACATATGTTACCAGTTCAACACAAATGGTCAAGAAGCTCAGATCTTTCCCTTTTTTTAAGTGCATTCAACAATAGTGTATCATATCAGCCCTGAGACTAAAAAAAGGAGAAAAATCACAATTTCACACAGTTGTACAGAGGAATTGCAATTATTTTTGCCACAACTGTATACCTAAGTTGCATTAGGAACTTGTTGTTAGCTTTCACTAGTAACACCCATAGACCTGTGCTAGCAGAAGCCTCTGCTCTTCCATCACTGTCTCACAGGATACAGTGGGGGTGTTTTAGACACTGCACAGGAAGTGGTTCAGGTTAGTGAACTCTTTGCTTTTGTGCAGATTTAATAATTGAAGATGATTAGAATGAGACCAAAGGTAACATGGGAGGGGTGACCAGACAACTAGGGTCCTCCTTGTCCATTACACCCAAGAGGGGAGAGATGCAAGCCTTCAGCTACTCTGCAAGAGGACACCTAGGAGACACTGAATGTATTAGAAGGCCTGGAGGACATTATCATTTTCCCACAAGTCAATGATGCAGGCACAGATGAACAAATGTGTCATGACTGTATCAATTGAATGCTGACTTCCAGAGATAAACTTATGTCCAGAAGTACCTTGGAAGTACTAACATGTGTTACTTTCATCTGGGGCTTCTGGAATTACACCTCATGTCTATACAGACCCCCACAGAGGGCCTACTACAGCAGAGAGCCTGTTGACTCTGATGTCAGAGGTAGTGATTATACAGCAAAGAGGGAAAAATAGAGTCTATTCAATCTTTACAGGTGGCATTAAGAAGGAACATGCATAGTAGATGTAGTTTAGCAGAACATTCTGCTTAAGTGCTTTTGATGTTGGTGACATCCTGATGTAGAGTGTGTGTTTTATGCATGTTCTGCTTAATTTGCATGCTATCTGAGATTCTATCTAGCAGACATACTAGACCCCTCTGTAAACAACACACAAAGTTTTAGAGGTTCTGGTCAAAATAATGTAGCAGAGGGTAGGTGAATCATGAAGTGGGTGACTTGAGTGATGTTCTGAGACTGGTTGAGACCAATTGGGGCAGTGAGCCAGAAAGTAGCCAGGACGGTTTCACTGTTATGATAAGATCTTGTTAGAATCTATTACAAAAGTATTATTGAACCTACCACTTTACTTATTGAACCTACCTATGGTGTATGGCTATGTAGGAGTATGTAAAACACATATTTTTGCATTAGTGGACAGTACTTTCATGCCTTGAGCAATCTATGTCACAATAGGTACAAACAAACAGTAATTACTTACATGTCACAGAGAGTGGGATCAAGATAACCCAGGTTGATCAGTACCTTTGACACAGCAAGGAAATGTTCCTGGGAGTGCATAAGGATAGGGGGACCATTAGGGTCCAACACTGACATTGGTGGCATTGGTGATAATGGGGAAAGAGGGAGGTTCAAGTTACGAGCAGCAAGGGGAAGTTGGTTGGGAGGTGGTGGAGATAGAAATTCAGAATGTTCATGGGCACATCACACAGCCTTTTTACTTTGCACAGCAAGGTTGATCTTGGGTATGTTGGATGGACAGTGGACTCAAGTCACACAGAGGGGGAGACAATGTGTGGTGGTCATTTGGAACTGCTGGAGGCTGGGAAATCTTTAGCTATATAACACTTGAAAATTAGGAAATAATATATCACAGGAATAATATCATCATTCAAAGACTCATTGAGTTCATTGAAGTGTTCAACCCACTTCTGATATGTGACAGGATCAGAAGATAACAGCATCTTGCACAGCACATGCATTTGTCCAACATGAAACTTGTTATGAGGATCCTGTAAGTGGTGGTGTACAATAAGAAGTTGCTGTTGAACTTGATCTAGTGATGCTGTTGAGCAAAGTATTGTATTGAACATGCAACAGATGACTTACCAACATCATAGTATGGATCCTTGTGCTGAAGAGGGGGAGTATCATGATCTGCCAATCAATGTCAGCCAAAGGTGTGAAAAAATGTAAAGATCAGATGTACCTGCTGAAGCAGTAGCCTTAGCTTTCCCTTTGGCTTTTTGAACTTCCTTGAAAAACACAAGAGGTAATGGTGGCCCAGTGTCTGTGTCCCAGGCAAGGTGTAAAGATCCACTGTTTGTCGAAGAAGTTGGTGGATTAGGTGAATAGTGCTAATGTTCTTGTACATCAACCAGCACAATACCACCATGCATGCTGGAGGTGAGGGACACACAAGCATGTATTGTACCAGAAGGAAGATGGAAGGCACATTCTATCTTCACAAGGAATGCTTGCCACCCAGTAATCTTTTGAAACCAGTGGGGTAAATCCTTTGGGAATTGAATGTATTGTACATACTCTCTATCTCAGAATCTCTATCTCTATTTATTCATACATTCATTTATCAAATCCCACTCTTTATAAAATGGCTCTCCCAATGATTCACTACAAACAGAACAACTATGGAGTGATTCAATATTATGAAAGGTTCCATGAGAAAGTGGCTTACCATGATATTGAACTCCGTCAATACTTCTACAAATTGGGCCAATAGAATCTTGTTGTCCTCTTCCTCTGGTGTTGAAGAAGACTTCATAAGATATGTTGTTACTGAGTCTGGTAGAGATGGTCAGGAAAAGCTTGGCCAAAAATTGTAAAATAACAATTGGACAGTAGGAGCGAATCAGTTGATCCAATGGCCATCGTCATCAGTTATGGACCAACTACCACCAATGTTGCCCTGGAGGAATGCAGGAGACATGTTTGGGGGTAGGTACTCACACTGAAGTAAGTGAACTGTTAGAATCTATATCAAAGTATTACCAGTTATAACTGATCAATAAGAATGACTAGAACTCAATGCAATTGACTGTGATCACCCAAAAGTGTTGATAATAGTAACTTTTGTATTGAAAATGTGTTTCAAGTGTCAACTCTCTGTGACATGTAAGTAATTACTGTTTGTTTGTACCTATTGTGACGCGAAACGCTCGAGGCGTTAAAACACCATCCACTAATGCAAAAATACGCGTTTTACATACTCCTACATGCCCATACACCATAGGTAGGTTCAATAAGTAAAGTAAAAGATAAATAAACATGAATGCAAGTGTATGTGCAGTAGAACAAGCATAATTAGAGTGCCAAAGCAGACTTTGTATATTTTGTTGGACTTAGTGTTGAAGAAGTGTTTCATCAACTTCATCACTTCATTCAACATGAACAAGCGTCAGGGCACCATAGACTTTTGCCTGTAACAAGTGTTTGTTGTTATGGGGAATGGTGAGATTCAGGGTGATAAACCCTTCCACAGTAGAGTCCCAGAAACCAGGGTCTTGTAACATGCGATGTGCAGCCACACTGAAGAGCTCGCAAGTAGGAGCCAGTCCTTGACCTTGTTGCCTACAGACAAGTGATTCAGCCTCATCCTCAGAGTCACAAAGAGCCATCACTCCAAACTCACATGATCACATTTACAGTATCCTCTGTGGATAGAAGATATTGGATAGGCAGGTCAGCTCCTTCTAGAACCACATTGGGCACCACCTTTGGTGTGAATGATCTGGGGGCAAAGCACAAGTAGAGGTAGTTGTACAGAACATCAACAGCATCGTCAACACTGGCATTCTCTGCGGCATCTAGTTCCCACTTTAATGAAGATATCCTCATCAGAATGCCCAAGGCCTCCTGGGTAACCTCTGCAAATTCCAACCAGTTTGTTGGACAAAGCTCAGGAG